TCTCTCTTCTGGACATGATACAGATTCACATCAAATATGATTTTATTTTAGTTTCTAGAGCTTTCTGGGCTGTAGTGTAGGCAGAGAGAATAAAACAAAGTATGAGCAGTTACACCATTATTCATAAAAACCAACATATTTGTGTGAATAGTAGAGGTTATACCCGGCCATATGGAGAAGATTGGCATTTATGGTGAATATGTTAGATATAAAAAATAAAAAAAAATCTTCAGCTGCCAGTTGTGAATATTAAAAAATACCATCCCTGTGACTAATACTTCCAAATAAATGAAAAGAAGTCTCAATATTCCTCTGAAGAGAATCAGCTAAATTCTAAAGAATATGTCAAATATGTCATTGTATTTCATTGTTGATTGTTGGAATTCACATGTCGCTCTGTGGTCCAGAAAACGAATTGCCAAAATTGAGATTCTGGGCAGAAGTATTCATTTCAATTCAAGAAACTTTATTTGTCCCCAGGGGTGAATTTAAGAGGCACACAGCATAGATATAAAAAACACACACAAAAAACCCAAACAGTGCACACATGAAGAAAAAACACTCACCAACAGTGCAAAAACTGTAACCTGTAATATTATAATGAGAATGACAGTAACATGGGAGAATGACATTACCAGTGCAAATGAATACACAGTACACATAAATGCACTTTTCATGCAATCAAAGTGCTTTACAAAATAAAAGCAATAAAAAACAAACCCCAAACCACCCTCTCGCTCACACATACACAAACACACTCACATTTACACACAGAACAATAAATGACTAAGTAATAAATAAAAACAATAAAAATAAGACAATAATGAAAAGCAAAGATAACGATAGAGTAGAAGAACGAACCAGTAAAACAGCTTAAGATATATAAATAAATAAAATTCATTAAAAGCCAGACTAAAAAGGGAGGTGTCTTGCGTTTGCTTTTAAAAGTATCAACACTTTTAAGAGACTTATAATCACAGCACAGTGACGGAGAGTTGTCATCTACCATTTCAAGATATAAACGTGCATCACAGAGAGCCGCAAGTTTGTGGATGGAAAAATATCTCTCTGAGCATCACTGAGCCAAATCTGATGATTAGTCTGAAAGTAGGGCTTTGCAGCAGAGACTTCCTCTTCCATATGACCCTCAGACATATACATGAGCATTTAGGAATGCTCTCACTCTCACTTAAATTTGCAGAAACGATCCCAGACCCCGTCAGTATGGGCAGTGCGGTTTGGACAAAGCGGTGAAATGAGGCTGGATTTCTTGGCTTGTTGCCCCAGCATTACTACCAGCCCTGCCCTTTACTCTGAGTCATACGTAGGGTAATGTACACACAAGCATGCAGGGACTCATGCACCGTGCAGCTCTCTCTGCATCTGTGGCTCTGTCATTAATTCTGCATCTGTCACTGAGCTCCTTTCAGAGTCATACACAAGCACATTGCTTAAAACCTGATCATATTTTTCTCTATCTCTCATCTACAGACACACACACACACACACACACACACACATTTTTACAAACCTAATATGTCAGTCTACATTCAAGAATGACCTCACCTCTTGAGAGTCTCAGGTTTCATACAAAGCAGACTTACCCAGTGTTCCAAGACACACATATCCCCATACACTCTGTGTTCATTTCTCATATTCACACACACACACGCACGCACGCATGCATGCACACACACTAACACACACACACACAAAGAGAGCATGCATTGAAGGAAGGAGATAAGATGGTCTCATCATAGAAGGGAAGATATAAGAGTAAGTGAAGCCATGCAGGGGGTGGGGGGGTTGGGTGTACGAGGCCACGGGACCAAATTTGGAAAGTGGATCCACCACATTGGAGCAGAAGTCATTCTTTTACAAACATCTGGCCTGCCAAGCTCACAGCTGTACGACCAAACCAACTCTTGTTTTACTAAGATAATTTCACACAGGGGACCATTCTGTCCTTTTCAGACTGCAGGACCAGCAGGAACCGGTTCATGGTTCAAACTCTCATCTGGAATATCACCAGTGTCCTTTTCATTTGGAAAATATCCTGTATTAGTATTGAGGTATGTTTAAACTTCAGGTCAGACAGACACTCAATCTCTTTCCCGAACCGCAGCTCTGTCCAACCATGTTTAAAAAGTCTTACCCTGACTGGGCCCACTGACTTCTCTCACAAAACATCCCAGAGTGTTTCCTTATGGCCTGGTTTAAGGCCGGCCACACCATACATCCTGAGTGACTGGCAGTTATTGGGTGGAATCCCACAGATGGTGGAACTATCAACACACTATTTGTTGGAGGTCTGTAGATATTCAGCAGCTGGCTCGCGTTGGCTTGGCCTATGGTTTGCTTTAGTCTAACAACTACAACAAAGTGACGTGTTTATTCTATTATGATAAGAAGGATTATCTGCAGCTCTCACATATTTGTAAAGGACTTTACTCAATTTGGCTCATTAAGAGGAGGATGGCTGGTGATACTTAGGGAAACTGGCCCTTACTATTTCTCTATGTGAAGACATGCATGTGGTCTGGAATAGATTAGGGAGCATTTGACGTTACAATATTAAGGAGTGTTATAACCTAGCTCGTTTAGGGAAAAGGGAAGCAACCTAGAACCAATGTAATCAGTTAAGCAAATTAATTTATTTGTAAGGAGGTAGAAAAAATTGATACAAACAATATTTGAGGTTAACCAAAAGGGGAAACCGGGCAAATGGATGCTGTTAAAACGAAGAACTAAATATAACCCAAAGAGGACGCTACATAAACAAGAGTTTCAAACCACAGACTGTAAATAAAGGTGGATGTAGCCTCTGTGACGTCACCCACAGGTTTCTGAAGAGTGATTTTGAAGCTCAGAGTGAGCTGCTCCACTGTCGCCATCTTAGCATTGTCTGACTCCGCCCCTAACTCCTAGCTAATCCAAAAATGGGCAAAGAGGAGGGGCGTGTGTGTGGAGGCCACACTTAGGTCTGTCGGTTTGTGGCAAGCATATGCTCACCCACCTGTCACTCAAATAGATCATGCCCTCAAGTCTACATAAATCTAAGCCTTAATAAAATGTAAACAGGTGAGTTATATAAACAGGTGTCATGAAGGAGGAAATTAGCTCTAGAGACCAAAGCTGTTTTTGTACCAGGCTGTAAACATGTTTATTTCTGCTGTAAAGTTGGACATTTTAACATGGGAGTCTATGGGGAATGACTCCCTGTTGGAGCCAGACCCTAGTGGTCATTAGAGGAACTGCAGGTTTTAGCACTTCAGTGTTGGCTTCAGTTTTCAGCCTCAGAGGTGGATGCTTGTTTCAAACTACCTTTCTAAAACTAAAATGAAGATAAAACCTCTCTGACTACTCTGCCCTAAAACCAAAAAACAGTCAAACAGCGCTCCTGTTCTTAGTGGATCTAAACAAAAGAGTTTCCTGTGTGTGTGTTGTCAGTTCTAGTTTCTGTAAGCCTAGCCCAGTCCTCAAACAGTCTGAAGAGTACCTCAGTGCTAATTCATGAAGTTAGCCAGGCTTTTGTACTTCAGTTGATTGGTGGGCTGGACCAGGTGCTGCTCTAATCAGGGCTCAACCAGCAAGGAGGGTGGGGACACCTCCAGTAGCTGCAGCCAATCTCAGCTCAAAGACCACACATTCTACATAGTTAGACAATTAGTCATTGGAACCGTAAGTGATTCAGGTGTCAGTGCTTGTTAGAAACCGGCTACACTGTCACTCTCATCCTTTTGCACTTTGATATTAACATTCATGGGTTGAACATTTGACTGCTTCCAGTTTAGAGCTGCTTCGCTTTGCTTTTCATTAGCAATCAATCATCTGGCCTATAAAAGTGATTGGTTAAAGGTGAAAACTGTCTTAGGTGACATTTTCAAATTGAATTTCTTCAACGAACAGTCCAAGATATTCAACTTACAATGACACAAAACCGAGAAAAGCAGCAAATCTCCACATTTGATAACCTTGAACTTTTCAATTGATTGTTAAGTAATGTTCTATCTTTTTTTAATTTGATTGATGAGTCAATTAAACACTTGCTTTTAGCAACACTGATTCCTCTAGAAATATTACACCACACAGACAGGGTTCAGTATATGGTGTCTGACAGCCAGAATTGTATTTTTGAAGCTGCAGTAATCAGCAGTGTAGAGCTAAACTGCTCCCTGCCCAGCACCAAGCAGCAAACAGACAAAGTCAACAACCAGCTATTAAACCACACTGCTGTTCTATGGTGCTTTTTTAGCTTTTTGCTCTATGTATGCTGTACATTTGCTGTGTGGTTCAGTATTAGAGCTCTCATCAACCCCTGTAGGCAGTTGTTCCCACCAGAAAAGGTCTCATTAACCAACAGTATGCTTATGAATTCCAGTTCTTATTGATGATAAAAAAAAAGATGTTAAATGTTTAGATAACAAAAATATCTTTCTTCTTTTTTTATGAACATTCACAAAGTAAATAGTATTTACTATTTAGTATAGTATTTAATAGTAATATTAAAAATGGGGTTTTGTCTCCCAACCCTAATGCTAACTGAATCTGCCCAGCACTAAATCACAGACGGGCAAAGTTAGTGTCTAATGAGGCTAAAGGAGAGTAAATGTTCTGTTTTTCTGTTAGCGTCAGATAGACATGAATATGTAAATAAGCATCTGCTCACTAACACAATAGCCATATACAGTTAATAAGATGATAATATGTCACCGTTGTATTTTTAGCTTGTTCTGATGCCCCAAGTGGCCAAAAAATTTTTTTTTTGCTGCTTTAAAGTTCCTCTCCAGACATGTTTTAACTTTTGTAAAATAATACATCTCCTCTTACTTCCTGGTGGTGGGCAGGCCTCGTGCCCTTTTTAAAATTTAAGTTACCAACAAAAGTGTGTAGACTGTAAAGGTATAACTATGTCAGCCAGTCTGGGAGCCATTCAGTCATGCCACCTCGTATTTGACGTCCATCAGCTGATATTTCCTCTTTCCTCTGTTCCTCCAAAGTGAAGTACATCCGTGAGGTTTCGCCGCTCTTCAAGAAGCCGTCCCTTGTGGCCGACCTGCCATGGGACGGCGTCCGCCCGCAGTCGCCCAGCTACAGCGGCAGCGAGGACTCGGGGTCACCCAAACACAGCAGCTCCTCCTCGTCCAAAGACAGAAAGGTCATCAGCCTGAGGATGTGCTTCATCAGCAGGAACCTGACCATGCCAGATCTGGAGAGCAGGTCTGATATCAGACTCCTTAGTGTTTGTGTGTATGTTTGACAGAAATAGCTGAATAGGTGTGGTTGGTTGTGTGTGTGTTTGACAGAAATAGCTGTGTGTGTGTGTGTGTGTGTGTGTGTGTGTGTGGGTGTGGGTGTGGGTGTGTGTGTGTGTGTGTGTGTGTGTTACCGTTGGGTGTGTCAGTGTGGTTTTGTCCAATTTCTGTTCATTAGATTGGTATGTTTGTTCTGGAAGATAATGAGTTTGGCAAAATAAAAAAAAAGAAAAAGAAAAGCACACAGCAACATTTATAACTGGTTAACAAAGCAATACCAGGACGTAAATCTCTCTCTTAAACACTGATACAACAGATGGATGGTATTGAATTACCAAATAGCAGTATGTCTCTTTTTCGGTGCAGTTTCCCATATGATGTCCCAGTTTTCCAAACTGTTTTCATGAATGTGTTAGATAATTAACCTTTTTTTATCAGTCCACCTTCAGTTTGAACACAGACTATATGGTTTTGGACCTTTGTGTCAGGTAGCTGTGTCAGAACTGTTGTGTATGACAAATAGCATTTAACCATTTGAACCTGACACATGTTGCTCAGTCAACTCAGAACACAGTGAAGTCATACACATGCTCCTGGATCACCTCCAGTATCTCTGAAGTCCACTGGATTATAGACCATCAGATGCTCCTTGTAACTCAGCATCTTGTCTAGTCAATAATCACGTTTAAGTTTCCTCAGACTCTAAACTGGTCCAGTGGTAGTTCAGTGTAAACAGGAACTTCTAGTAGCTATTGCAGCATGACTTTTCATGGTGCCGATTTGCAGAAATGTAAACAAATATTGGCTTTAAAAAACAAGGCAAAGCTAAATGTGCTCACCATCTCCATGGCAACATCAGATTTCACACAGTGTATACCTGGAACCCTGGTTGTAAAATCTTAATTAATTCTATGAGAAAATAAAAAACAATAGCAGTGACAAAAACTCTGTATAAACCATCCAGCACCACTCGCATGCCAAGTGATGGCATTTCTGAGAAGTGTGTGAGTTCTTTAAATGATATCTGGCATGCCTAGTCCCAAAGTAATCTTTAAACTTGTCAATTTATCAAGTCAAATTGAATATGCTATAATTCTCTTTCATTGGTCAAGGGTATGGATGAAGCTCCAGGGAGATCACATCGTATATTCATTTGTATATTTTACAGCTCATTTCAAGCAGATTTCAAATGTGTTCAATGCATTTTCAATAAGATATTTAAAAAATACATCCAAAAAGAAATATCAGTCTTGCACATCTCTTACAACCTGTACACGGCACCGACAGGTGAGGTCCCACACCTTAACACACTTTTGTCATTGTGATCAGATCATGAGCTGTTTACATTATTTTGTCTAGTCCCTGGGCTGCTGATAATATTGGCAAATCTCCTCTCTGCCATTCAGACTTCTGGAGCTCCATTCCCCAGATGGCCAGCACACGGTGGTGCTGCGCTGTAAAGACGGCCCCACTGCCAACTCCTGGTTCACTGCCATCCACACCAACATTGCTGCCCTGCTGCCACAGACCCTGGCTCACATCAACGCCTACCTAGGGGCCTCGTCCTCGACCTCCACACACCCCCACCTCAAACACATCGGGTGGTTGGCTGAACAGGTATTTTCAGCTGCATTCTATAAAATACATGTGATTACTGGTGTCACAACAACAGAGGAGCAAGGTCTTTTAAACTGAATGTCTGTTCAATATCCTTCAAACTAATTTCACTATAAAGTAGGGTTAGGTTGCCATACCTGGTTTTATTTTGGATCTCTCACATCATCTTTTATCTCTCCTTGATATTTTTTACTAGTAAAGAGAGCAAAACAAAATATTCATATTGCAAGCATCTCATTTAGCCAGTACTGACCATCGCTTTCGCCATTTAAAGAACAGTTCAGCATTTGGGAAATCTGTTTTTCTGCGTTAGAGGAGAAGATAGATACCACTCTCATGGCTGAGTGCTCAATATGAAGCTAGAGCTAGCTTAGCACAAACAGTGGAAGCAGAAGGAAACAGCAAGCCAGGCTCTGTCCAAATGTTAAAAAAAAAAAACAGCATCAATGAAGCTTATTAATTAACATGTGTCATTTGTTTAATCTTTGTGACACATCGTTGTTTGACAGTGGGTTATTTGCAGGAACCTTTTGAAGCCCCCCTTTTTCTTGTCTTTGTGCTAAGTGCCTGCTGGCTTCAGCTCACAGCATACAAACATGAAAGTGATATTGATCTTCTCTTGTAGCTAATTAATTGCATTTGGCCCAAATAATCAAACTATAAATGTTGTTTTTATCAGCACATGCATAGATGGTCGTATGGGAATACACAAGGAAGCGCACTCTTCCTGTACGCTGCTGCAGTTCTGACGTTAGAGCAGAGATGGCAGCCTGTATGTTTGAGGTCTTGGTACATGCAGTGATAATGGAAGCCTATAGGGGACTATATTAAAATGATAATGTAAACTTGAAAAGAAAAATAGTTGTATTTGTATCATAATTTTCCACATATGTATGTTATTTGAGTAAAAATGAAAATGCAGTAATCCAGTTTTCATTCTCACATACTCATGTGGGCGTCTATGACCATGTTAGAATTAAAATGGTCCACTGTACATCCGCTTACAACTTTGAAAATCAAATGTCTAATTGCTTTTCCATATTCATTTTAATATGGTCATAGACGCCCTGAAAGTGAAAAGGAAAATTGGATTATGTCATTTTCATTTTCATTCAAATAACACTTACAGTACACATGTGTACACAATATAGTCCCCTATAGACTTTCATATCACTGCATGTACCAAGACCGCAAACATACAGGCAGCCACACAGCAGCACACAGGAAGAGTGTGTTTCCTTGACCTAACTTTAGACCTAAATTGAAACACATTCAATCCACATCCAGGAACAAGACTCTTACTCTGAAAAAACATCTTTTCACTTTGATGAAGTGTTCGTTCAAGGTCATGTTGAATGTATGGATGTGTGGCTCTGTTTATCTTGACCGGGCTCAAACAGGAAACACCAATGGGAGTTTCCGTTGCATTACACTATTTCCTGTAGAGCCCACCTTCTCACCACAATTGTACTCACAAACACACTGTCTGGTTTAATGTCATTGCTTCTCAGTTGAACTCCACCAACGCTGCAGTCACTCAGACAACCACACAACTGTCAGTGTAACTCCTCTCCAGCTGTACGCTATCAAACTACATCACTATACCTTCACTTGTCAAAACAATCACTGTACCCTCAACCTGTCAGTCTGCACACGACACCACATCACTATGCCTGTGCCAGTCTCACTGCATCAGTATATCTGTTCACCATCAAAACAATCACTGGACCTGTTGTGACTCCCTCCAGGAAATAGACCGCACCACGATTCACTGTTACTGATGGATTTCTTCGTCTTCTGCACTTCTAACGGCACCATCATCACCACTGTCAAACTAATTAGATACACAACATTGTACAAAATAAACACACACTCATATTACAACAAACTACAGAAACTTAACTATAAACATACACAACAACACATAAGCATGTAAATAAACACCTCACTGACTTCACATGACCAAGAGGGAATGAATGGACTAAATATAAATCTGTGTCACCTTTTAATTTAAACATTAACGGACTACAAAAACGGAACTGTCTGTCAACTTCATGTGTTTCTCTGAAGGAAACTGTTACAACTTAAAGTGTCCCCGTGCAACACAGGCACAAACTCAGTTCCTGCATCCTGCATCAAGCCAATGCAAATAAAACATATCATATAATCATATAACATAAAATAAATCATATAAATAATGTGTGCCAACAAAACTTATCAAATGATAACATAAATATATTATATTTTTATGGCGGTTAAACCTTTATTGTGTCAATCTGCATTATACCTGCACCCATATCCTGTTGTAGTTTATACCCCATCAAATAAACTATACCCAACATCTGTAGATTAGATTAGATTAGATTCAACTTTATTGTCATTGCACAGAGTACACGTACTAAGACAACGAAATGCAGTTAGTATCTAACCAGAAGTGCAAAAGAGCAGTTAAAGTGCAAGTGTGTGCTGTACAGGTATGTAAAGTGAGGGTGTGCATAAGTAAAGTGGAGATGTGCATATGTAGGGTACAATAAATTACACTGTGAATTACAATGAATTACAATGATGAGGTAGCGAATTACAATGATGAGGTAGCGGGAATAAATACAGTGAGTGCTAGACAATGAGTAGAGACGGTTCAGAACAGTTCAGTGCAAGTGCCAAGTGTATCAAACAACATCACTATAACATACCCAATACCCCACGGTAGTTTATACCCCACCAAACTATTTTTTAATTTTTTCACATTTAATAAGTGAATAATTAAGTTTATACATCATCAGCACAACTGAACCCATCTGCTCAATGTTCTAGCACACACCATTCTCGTAGGGCTGGAGAGAGTGGCCGGGGGAACCTGGATGCATTGCTGCCTTTGACCTCTGACATCTCCCCTGACTTTTCCTCCTCAGGTCCAGCTGGACGGTGGACGGCAGCAGTATAGGCCGGTGGTCATGGCGCTGACGGAGAAGGACATCCTGCTGTTTGAATCGGTGCCGTGGAGCAGAGAGTCCTGGTCCATGCCTCTGCTTACACACCCACTGCTAGCCACCAGGTAAAGACAACAGACAGCAGGGAGTTTTCCACAACTGTAAAATGGGTTTATCATTCCTTTGTTTTTCAGAACTGATGTTTATACTATTAAAATGTGTTTGAATGGGACATTTTTGCAAGTAAACTGTTGATTCTCTGCAAGGCGTCGTTAAATGTTCAAACAGCACATCAGCTGACTGTTGAGCACTGGTCAGGACTTTTCATCTAATGACACCATATGTTCAACAAACTGTAATGTATGGTAAGTACCTGGAGGTTTACAGTTTCAAATGTGAGATATGAAACTGAAACGTGAAGGGGAAACTTCAGCAGGGAACCCCCACCCTCCAAAAGTACAGGAAAGTACACTGACTAGATCAGTAAATGCTGTGGGTCAGTCACCTCAGAGACCAGGATCCTCAGAGACCAGGACCCCCTCACCAACTTTAATAAGCGGCTTAAGATGACATGAGCAAATTCTATCAGGAGTCTTATGCGAGATGACTTTGAGGATGTGAAGTGTGCCTGTGTTTTCATGTCTCTCTCTGTCTCTCTCTCTCTCCAGACTGGTTCATTCCGGCAGTGCGCGGGGATCTCCCGCCCAGGGGTCAGACCTGGTGTTTGCCACTCGGACGGGCACAGGACGGGGCATCGAGTCCCACGTCTTTCGAGTGGAGACCCACTGGGATCTGTCTTCGTGGACGCGAGCATTGGTGCAGGGGGCACATGCTGCCGCAGAGCTCATCAAAGAAGTCTCTATTGGTGAGTGTGGGTGTGTGCTGTAGGTGATTAGTCTGTGGTAAGAGTTTGACATCAGTCCCATCAGTCCCATAATTCCCTGTGCGGACTGTATTATTCTCCCTATAACCAGCACTGCACACTCTTATGCTACTGTAACGATATCTCAGTAACACCTCGAGGGAATTTCTTCAGATTTGGCACAAACATTCACCTGCACTCAAGAACAAACTAGTTAGACTTTGATGGCCAAAGGTCAAAGGTCAGTGTGACCTCACAAAACACTTTTTCGGCCATTCCTCGAGACTTGACACAACAATTCAGTAGGAGGAGGCAGACGACCACGAGGAGGGGATTCTAGTTTTTAAGATATAGTTTGTAGCATTGTTCATCATTATTCATCACTGTTATACTGATTTACATAATGTTATAATATTGTAGGTGTTGATCACAGCTGAGCAATGGACCAAATTTATCAACATTATGAATCTTCATTTATCCTCACAAATGTTCAATAAATAAAGTGACAAAAGCTCCAACAAGCAGTGACATCCACAAGTACAAAGTACATTTATTCACACACTGGATGAAAATGCAATTTGGCAACATTTGTACTTTACTTGATTATATATTAAGTAAGTAAAGTTTATTTATGTAGCAGCTTTCACAGATAAAAATCACAAAGTGCTTCACAATAAATAGTAAAAGACATAGAAACACAGTGGGGAGACTTAAAATCAGACCGACATAAAAACCCTCGCCAACAGAGTCTTCAACTGCTTTTTAAAAGAATCATCAGAATTTAAGCAACGTAAAAAATGGTGGCATTCCACAGTCTGGGTGCCACTGCTTGAAAGGATTTAATGTTACATAATACCTCGTATCCACTACGTCTCAGAAGGAGTTATTGCATTGTTATTCCTCTTTATACATTTAACATTGCTGTAGGTTTAACCACCACACAGTATATTAGATAGTTCAGCTTTATGCTCCTTCTCAGCCACTGCGTTCCTCCAAGGAATGATGTCTGGCACTGCCAGACTGTTCTGGTCTGTGGTTCCCTGATGGTGGAACAAGCTACTGAACACTATCAGAGCAGGAGCGTCTCTCTCTGTCTTCAAGAATCTGTTGAAGACTCAGAGACAGAGAGACTTCCTCTCCAACACCTCTAACACCCTGACATGTCTAACCAGCTCTTACTATCAGCTCTACCTGCACTTCTTTTCTTGATCTCTGTGCACTTATTAAATAGACATATAGTGCTTCATCCTTACGTCAAGGTCTCTGCTGCGCTGGAGCTTTAGTGATGTCCTTCACTTCTATGACGCTTTGGATAAAAGCTGCTAAATGGGTAAAGGTAAATGTGATGTAAATTGGCTCCACCAAGCTTCAATATTTTAATGCAGCTTATGCATTAATGGATCTGTTATAATGATCAAGTATGATATGATATGTAAATGTAATGATATGACACCGACAGGACAGTGAGTATTAATTAGTACTTTTTATTCAAGGTATTTTTAAAGTCGTACAGAATGTAATAAATTACTGTTACAGTTGAACAAAGACAATGTGTCCCCTCTCCCTATTATAGTGTTACTGAGCCATGTTTGTGATCACAGTCGGTTTCCTAACCGATTACATTTACATACACATGAATTCAATGTGACAAAAAAAATATGTGTAAGACAAAAGAAATGGTCAAAAAACAAACACAAGCAAAATGAACCAAATTAAATAAAACAATAAAATAAACAGAAAAAAGAAAGTTAAAGAATTACAAATAGATAAATAAATAAGAATATATAATATGTGTTCAGTTCACAAAACTGCAGTAGCGTCCATTTTTTCTACATAAGTTAAAAAAGGTTGCCATATAGCGTGACACTTCTGAGCACACCCTCTCTTAGTCTAGAGAATTTTCTCCAGTGTCAAATGATGTATAAGGTCTTTAATCCATAGACTGAAAGCTGGAGGAAATGTATCCCTTCACTGAAGCTGTATAAGACAGAAGCTATTGTATTTTTTACCGGGTGAGTAAGATGTGCATCTTGTGGAGTTACTCCAAAATATTGTAGTAATAGCAGAAGGTTCTCTGGGTTCCTCCAAAATATCTGAGAAGGTTTTTAAATATTGACTGCCAGAAACTATTGTGTTTTGGACAGAACCATATCATATGTGAAAGGGTGGCCGGTGCTCACATGCATCCCTCACACACAGGATCGACAGTAGGCATGAATTTGTGATATTAATGTTATATTATTGCTACTGTGAAGTGAGCCAGAGTGAGACACATGGTCGCTAATCATTTATCTTAGGAAAGGTTTTAGGTCATAGGTCGTAGCCCTAGTGATGAATTGGATTGCGTGTGTGTGTTCTTGTTCTATTCTTGTTTTATACACATTTGAGACAAGTTACATGTGGTTTCTGCCAGTATACACGGGGCAGCAGCAGTGTGGTAGAGTGTGTATGAAGATCATCAGACAGAGGATTTGGGTTCACCTGATCCATGAAATCATCAGATTTACAAGTGAATGTCAAACAGAAGTATTTGTTCACAAACTAAATCCTGTATACAGCTTGTACCTGATAAAATATTTCTATGTATATAGGCCTTTAAATGCCAGGGTACTTTGACTGTAACAGGAAGCTCCTGACAGTAACTGGCTCGCTCACACTCACAGTGTGCAGCAGCTCAGAAAGAGCAGCTCTGTGCAGGAAAAGCAGCAGTGGGAGCCAGCAGAGGGGAATGTTTCCACTCTGTGCAGAACAATAGTTGGCTGATGTAAAAGCCTCAGCCTTTTTTTTTTTTTTTTCCCTCCTTCCCTGTCCTGCTGCTACACAAACACACAGTTGTGCAGGGATATTCAGGCCTTTCAGGTTACAGTCATGCACATTAAAATGCTTTCAGGTCAAATGACCTCACAGTTGAAGCTGCAACAGGCTGGATTTTTATATGGAAGATACACTTGTCTCTGAGGAAAGTCACATCCAGTTTCATTCAGATGCTGAACAGATATTGTCACTGATGGGATTTGTGTTAATACAGGAAGTTAACAACATCCCAATGTTGGATAGACATGCCTTCTTTCCCAGGATCTGAGGGTTGCCCACCAAACCCCCCCCCCCACCCCCAATCACCCGACCAGGCTGAGCAAACCCCCTCCTGAAAAAAAATAAAAACAAGAAAAATAACCTTCAGTTACAGCCCAGCCTCCCTCTCCACCACTCAGCCGCCAGGCTTGTCCCGCCGGATCTGGTCCTTGTCCCCGCTCTGGGCCCCCCAACCCCATCCCCACCCACAATCAAACACAAACACACATACACACACACCACGCCACACACACACAAGCTCCTCTTTCTTCTTAGTCCCTTTTTCTTTTTGTGTGCGTGTGTGTGTGTGTGTTATAATTATGAGCGTGTGCAGGTTGTTGCTGTGTGTTTATGTGTGTAGTTTGCTCATCACACATGCAAAACCACAGGGCCATTCTATCGATTCCGTCTCACAGCCGAGGTGGACACAGCTCCATTACTGAGTCCCAGCACAGATCCTCCTGATCAAATGTGACTCTAATACAAGTGAAAGTTGTTCAGTCAGATTTTTACTAGAGTACTTGATTTTTAAATATTCAAAAGTACATTTTCTTATGTCAATGCATTGTTGTATTGTTCCACATTTATAGAACCTCATGACTCTGAAACAACCTGCTGACTGTAACATAAGAAAGACTATAAAGACTAGAATATGATTCAACAAAAGGACCGATTATCATTTTCATATTTCTTTGTTTTGAGTCAGTGATGGTTTGGTCGTGGTAAACACAGCAAACATCTAAAGCTAAAAAAACCTTTCTTTTCTTTATGTCAGTGTAATTTCAAACACAGACTTCAGATCAGACCATGGTCTCTGGTGAAGGATCTTCCGCCTCATCTGTATCTAACATTGCTCGGCTTCGAAGTAAAGAGTATTTGTACTTGTACTTGAAATGTCGTGGAGTCAAAAGCACAGTATTTGTCTTTGAAGTGTAGTGGAGTAAAAGTCAGAAGTTTACAAATGATAACACTCAGGTAAAGTACAGATACTAGAAGAATATACTTAAGAACTGTACTCAAGTAAAAGTAATTCATTACTGTCCACCACTGTCTCTCACACACACACACATACATACACACACACACACACATACTAAGTCATTACTTTAAAAAAAAAAAAAACCTGCTCACCCATACACCTGCTGCCCTCTCTCTCGCCCCTTCCTCCAGGTTGCACGTTGAATAGGCAGGATGTTCGGCTCACGCTGCACTATGAGAAGGGCTTCACTGTGACGAGGGAGCCGGCCGACCCTCCCGGCGGCGCCGTGCTGTTCAGATACCCCTACGAGAAGCTGAAAATGTCCGCTGACGACGGAATACGCAACCTTTACCTTGACTTTGGGGGTCCGGAGGGAGAAATGGTGAGTTACCTGTGCACTGCAATAAACCATTTATCAGGGAAGTGGTTTTCAACAGTGAGGAGTCATTTGTCATATTTTCTCTAGAAAATAGAAAAGAACCTTATTTGCAGTGAACACAACAGACTGGGTCCAGAAACAATTAACAGCATGACAAAGGAGAGTATAGATACAGATCAGATTTTAAATTTAAGCCAATACACTATGAATATTTTAGATTATTTTCTTTTACATCTTTATGGCAGTTTCCTGTCCCATCTCTCCTTCCTGTTCCCTCCCTCACCCTTTCCTCCCTCTTCTCATGCCGCAGGTATTTGACCTCCACTCCGGTCCAAAGCCGGTGGTGTTCGTCCTCCACTCTTTCCTGTCAGCCAAGCTCACTCGTATGGGCCTGCTGACGTGAAGCAGCCGACAGCAGCAAGTGTGGATGAGAGGACAGTTCCCAGGCACAGCGGGGAGGGGGGAAGAGTCCTTAAAATGCTGATAAATGGGGGTTAACTTTTTATTTTCATTTCATTTTTTTTTTTTTTTTTCCCAGTTTCTCTTTGAAGTTAGGCCTGATGTGGCACTGCAGGGAAGGGTTAACCCAGGAGTTGTATTGTTGATTGTCTCAAAAATGTGCCTTCTCTCCCGACGTCTCCTTGCCGCCTCTTGCGCTCGTTTCTGCTGCAAGATCAGATAAAAGTTGGTGGCACTTTGCTTGAAGTCAGTTACAATATGCAAAAAAATAGCTATTAACAATCTCATAACATTCCATGTGATAACAAATTAAACTTCATTATAATGGAAGTAAATAACAAGAGCTAAGAGGTGTGATGTGTTTATGAGATTACATCACCAGTGCACTTCAAGCAACATGTTACTAAAAATATTAAGGAAAGAAGGATTTTTTTTAGACAATTAATACACAGCCAAGCACAGATTGGTAAATGCTCCCTGTTTTTACTCTCTGCCTATCATTCCACGACAGCCTTCTAATGTACTTTGGGCTCTTTTTAATGTATTTGTTTGTATTTGTGTTGACATGTGAGTGCTGTTGTAGAGTCAGAATGCAGTTGATTGTTAATTCACAGAGATTGTGGGTGTCGGTGTGGGTGTGGGTGTGTGTGGGTGTGTGTTTTTTGTTACCTCTTTGGGACCTTTTCCAGTATAAACACCAACCATGTTGGGACCAGTCGTCCTCACAGGGACCGGAGCCTGGTCCTAATGAGGCACAATGTCATTTCTGACAGCCTGGTTAAGGTTAAGGTTGCGGTCAGGCTGTCCACAATGAATGGAAGTCACTGTGTGCGTGTGTGTGTGCGTGTGTGTGTGCATGTGTGTGTGTGCGCGCGTGTGTGTGTGTCTCTACTACATGTGTCTGTTGGCTTGATAGTGTGCCTGCTGTCTGACAGACTCACCTTTTAGCACATTATCCCAAACTACTGTTGTAATCAGGATCGCCAACTGTGCCTTTTCACATGTAGTCAAAGACACTCTGTAATTTTTTCCTTTTATTTCACACAATAAGAGAATTTTAAGCTTTCGACATGCACAAGCAATAGTATTACTCTTATAGTGTAAACAATATTACTTTGTTTTTATGCCATTTGTTTTTTTATGTGTGTATATCTCATGATAGCATGACTTCCTGAAATTGAATTCTGTATCAGATGATGATATATGACATGACCGTGTGTTACGTCCTTCACCTGTACTACCATGTCGTCTCCGTCTCATTGTCACTATCATCTCATTCCACTTCTCTTGAAATTACTCGTCTCTTGTTACCATTCTATAAGCATCATCATTTATCTGGCGAAGGACTGTTTAATAGGTTTGTCTCAAGGTGGGCCATCACATGACAGAGGTACCAATGTATTTTTTATAATCTAAACTGTAACATCAATATATTTATAATGTATAAAAAGAGATAAAATAATAGGAAATAGCCTAAAAATGGAAACGAAAGACCAAACTCCAGCAGGAAAATTCTGCTGCATGTAGACAAGGTACGTCAGAGACAACAGATAAGAAAAATATAGTTTGCCATATTCTTGCTGTTTACTTCCCTGAGAAAAGCAAAAAAAAAGACAAAAATGTTGTCAAATGTTCAAATAAAATGCACATAGTTGGCTAATTCTGAATAAGTTTGCAAGTAGGAGTAACAGTGGAGGATTTTTGTTTTTTATCTTTCTCTTAAGTCCAAAATTTCACATTTAGCAGTTTGATAATTATGGACCCTGGTGCACACAGATGTCGTCTGCTTCCAGTGTTCATTCAGTCCTTGCTTCACCAAGGCACCGGTCCTTAATTAGTCATGTGATGAAAATTGCTGATAAAGACAGTGAGATGCAGTTAAAAAGCTAATAAATGGACCAAGAGATAACGTTATTTGACAAACTGCTGTTAAACTTGACTCAAACTAAAACCCAGTTGCAGACCTTATGACTTCTGTCAATACTAATCGCCATCTCAGCTTTAGGTTCAGTATGCCTACGTTAGGTTCATTATTTGTGTCCCTAAAATCGAGGTGAGTTAAAGTGAGCTAAACTAACTACAGTCCTCCTCCCTTCAGTTCATCTGTTCAGTCCAGTGCCTGTGTTGAGACTTGACACATTAATGAGTTCAACATAACTGCATGGTACATGCTGCTGGTTACCCTTCAGCAGAGCCTCAGAGTTCATTTAGACCTCAAACAATGTACCATTGTATCCACTGACCTTGTAACATAGGAAAGCCCTTGTGTCCTCGGATAAGGAACACAATCACCTATCTGAAGGACCTCTATTCTATTTTGGACTCTGATGTCCTTGTGATGGTTTGAAAAAGGCTTGTTGGCTTGTTTAGGAGAGCTAAAATGTGTAAGCATATATTTCGTTGAGCTGCATAGCTTATTCAGGTTATGATTATTGAGTGGCTGTTAGAGGAGAGGCAGACTGCTTCCCTTAAAACGTGTTTGTGGGAGGTTTGAGTGATATTTGGCCTGAAATGAAGTCTTCTTCCTGCAACACTTGGAGCAATGGTGATAGTGTTGCATTGCATCATCTTACTTTTCATTTCATTTTGTTTCTCTAAGTTGCTGCACAGATGTGATCGTCTGAAGTTAGTCAACCTTCAGCAAGCTACAGGCCGTCCCTCTTTGAGCTTGATGCACTAAGCTATCAAACCCCTTCAAACCTGTGAATGTACATCTCCTCTGAAAATGATTTTTTTTTTTTAATATCTCCTTTCTCTCTATTTCTCAAATCGCGGCTATTCTGTCTATGCAAAGCAATGCTTCAAAGAAGGGGTTTTTGAACCAAAGGTCATATCTGTGGCAGCTTGCGTCCAACACAATCATTAAACTGAAAGGTCACAAGACGATAAAGTGCTGCTGCAACAACCTGTCATATGCAAAGTATTTTAGACTTCCTTCCAAGACACAGTATACAATGTATGATAGCAATGTCATAATCTCAAATGTAAATACCCACCAATAAAACTGTTAAAATGATATAAGTTTGTGTGTGGTTTGTTGTGAAGCTTTGGACATACTTATATGTTATATTGTGGATCTACTTGATTTCATTCACTGTGGGTGTACTACTGCTACAGCACCACCAGGTGGTGACAGCCGCAGTCCATTAAAGCATCTGCTACTGTTGTTTCCAACTGTAGCTGTTGCTAGTTTTAGCCGTACAACTGCAAAATATAAATCTTGTCTTCAAATGAAAGTTTTTTCAATTATAATTTATGTTAATAATGTCCATTTTAGGGTATGCTAGTCATTGCGTGTTATATTTTGAAAGTTTAAACCGGAAGTTATCTTTGTGCACGCAAGCTTGTCGGTAGACGCAGTGTTACTGTGGTTTTGTTGGGTCGATGCAGAACTGTCATCTTTGCTAGCTTGTCATGTCAACCCGTCACCTCACAACACAGGGCTGTTAACGAGTGCATCTTTTCACATATCCACATTTGGCGAGGATAGAAATCTGGGCGGATAGCAGAAGAGTGAGATGAAATGACAACGTCAACATTGCAGGTACGTTAGGATATTAGCTAGCTAACGTTAGCTTGCTACAACTGGACATAACTTGGCTTATTTTACCATACAGCAGCTTTGAATGCAAGCTAACTTGCTAGCAAAACAGCTGACGCCAAAGCCCGCTGACATTGTTGGCAACCCAGTTCAGTTAACTCAGCCAGCGAACAGTACTTCCATTGTCTTGAAAATAACATTACCATAAACATATTCCTCTAACCTTACTGTACTTGCTAACTACATAATGTAGAAATAATCTAGATAAATTCTGGTGTGAGTCATGAGTTTGTGGATTGCTAACTAACGGCAAACCCCAGCTGGAGGATGTTTATAACGGTGCCAGCCCGTTAGCTGGGCTGTGGCTCCTGCTTACAGACGGAGACAACTAAGATTTACGTTATGGATGATTTTATTTGGGTAATTGGCTTAAGAAACAGCACAGTGATTTTTGATGTATAAAAAGGAAGTTTAGTAGGATCCTATTGTATGATATTATCTGTGTAACTTATGCTTTGTTTTGGTTGAAGCTCCAGTGTCCACATGTGCAGACTGATATGATGATGACTAACGTGTATATTCCCTGCCTCTATTTCTGTCTCCACCCCCAATCCATCTCACATCTGTCTTATGACATTATTTCTCTGCATTTATTGCAGAAAGCGATTGATCTTGTGACTAAAGCCACAGAAGAAGACAAGGCAAAGAATTATGAGGAGGCCTTGCGCCTGTATCAGCATGCTGTGGAGTATTTCCTACATGCCATCAAATGTGAGTACAGGAAGTTAAAATACCTGTCCTACCTGAACTTTTACAGTCTTCCATTGGCAGAAACATTGTTGGGTTTTATTCACATTTATTCACATTTCATGGAAATGAATATTTCCTTCAGATGAGGCCCACAGC